CCGTCCCGGTCTCACCGCCGAAGACAGGCCCGGGCTGGGGCTGCGCACAGCACTCCCCGCGGCGTGGGGAGGACAGCAGCACGCGGAGGGCAGGCGGCCATCCCGTGGGACCCAACCAGGCTGGAGACAGCAGGGAATCAGGATGAAAGGGAAAGTCCGCCATGGCGGAGGCTGGAGCTGGAGGGCTTCTGCAGGGAAAGCCCTGGGGGCGTGGTGGGCACAGTCCTGAGCCCTCGGAGCAGTGGGGGCCCTGTGAGCAGGGGAGCTGCCGGGAGGTGGAGGGAAGGGGCTGTTTCCCTTAGCCCAGTGCGCGTCAGACTGCATCTACGCACTCTGTTCTGCTCAAGAAGGATATTGGCAAACCAGGGTGATAAAAGCGCTGCCGAACGAGGGCAGTGAGCGAGGAGAGGGCTGGGTTGCCTCCTCCGCTCTGCCCCCTCAGACCTCGCGTGTCCATATCGGGGGTTGATGCAGTGCTGCGAGCAGCGTGATGCTGGGACTGGAGAGCCAACAGACCACCTCCTCTTCATAACCTGTTTGGCTCTTCACGTTTTTCTTGACATCTTTTCGTTTTCCTATGTTCCTATCTTCTTATGCATTGTTACATAGTTTGTTTTTTCTGTTTTGTGAAAAGATCTTTTTGTTTGTAACCATCACTTCTGTCCTCCTTGTAAACAAGTCTGCAGCAGACCAAGACATTTTATCTCACAAATTCAGAACCTGGAAACCAGATTCCCCCTCCCAAATCAGGTTTGGCTTAACAAACCTATCAGTAATGGAAACTGTCAGTTCTTGAGTTGGTTAATGTCCTGTTTTTCCTACAGACACTGTATGAGGAATGACCTCAGCATTGCATACTCATGTTGGTTGCTATAAATCATGATGTATTTCCAACAAATCAAGAGTATCTTACTGAAGGAAACTCAGATGTGTGGTAGATTGGTCATGACCACTGATGTTATTGCCTTTTCTTCTTTGACAGCAGGAGGTGTTACTTGATTCATGGACAGAAATACTTAATTTAAAAAATACCTGCTATCTCATTTTCTTCTGCTAAACTGCTCAAAATGTTTTTAATTAAATGCTTTTCCAAAACATTTTTAATGAAATGCTTTTCACCTTGAAAGAATTATGGAGAGAGACGACAATTAGTGTTTCTAAGCTGGAGTAATAAAACAGCAATTTTATTAATAGTCTAAGGAAAATACAGAAAACTTAGCTATAGGCCAAATGGATGACAACAACATTGAAACAAAAAAGAACTGTCAGATTACTTTTTACCTACTTTGACAGAATGCCAAAGTGGAGGTTGTTAAAATGGGACACTATTGTGTATTCTATTTGTTACTGGCATGAAACTTGGGATACTGAATTTAGTCTTTTTGAAGTGGAAAGGTTTTTTCCTGAATATAAAGCAGGAACAATCAGAGCTTAAAACACCTCCCCAAGAAAAAGAAAAGGGTTTTAAAGCAATATTGTCTCAACTGCACCATGTAGAAGTGAACCACAGTAATTTTTTAGTGCACACTTTGGTCTATAAGGAAAAGCCTGTGGGTATGCTCCTGTGTGGGCAGAGTGGGAATGGGAACTGTCAACCTCAACCCCATTAGTTTGGGACCCCACCCATTTTCATTTTGACAAGTCTAAAGAGACGGGGAAGAAATCCGGACATTAAATCTCACCGTTCTCCTGCTCTGGAGCAAAATTTTACCTTCTTTATTGAAAGTTTTCCTGGACTGACACTTGCCAGGTTGCGACAAAGTGAATTTTCACGGCTTGTCTCGCCCCCTGCCCTGGATGGCTCAGAAGAAAGTGCTGCAGTGTTAGTCTGCTCAGGCTCCTCTGCTGGTGAAGGAAAAATGTCCTTTCCAGCTCTCCGATGGCAGCTAGCAGGATGGCTGAAATAAGGTGAGGCTGTACTGCTCCCAGGTCAGAAACTGATGACAGCATTACAAATATAATTTAGTATACTTGCAGGCGTATAGATAAGATGTGAAAACTTCTGCAATTACTAAATGTGAACTAGCGAGAGATACCAGGCTTGTCCAAACCCAGAAATTTCTACTAATTTCTACTCTTTGGCACAGTTTGCGTGCTGTCTCATGACACGAGCACCTGGGGGTATCTCCATCACGTCTTTGCTGCAGGTAGGGGAATGCCCTGACAAGGTGCTCGGCACATGACGCTTTGGGAGGGGAATTGTGCTCTCTTATTAATGTTAGTGTGTTGCAGCTAGCTGATGGTCTGCTGCCGATGAACCAAGGGGGGAGATGCTCTTTTCCCAGGGATTTAGCAGATTATTTGACCCAATCTGTAAGACAGAAATAATACTCAAAATTGTCTCAGCCTTAGGGTGGTTCCGAGGAGTTTGCTCTCCTTTTGTTGCCTTAGAGCGAAAAGGCGATGTGTAAGATTTTGCCAGGCAGCTTATTTCTACTAGGAGGCGCTCTTTGACCTGGGATTGGATGGGCCTTTCCACCCGCTCTCACATGCATCCTCCGCTTGTGTTATCCTCGTAGGGCTGTGCGTGCCTTAGCTTAAAACACCTCCCAGCCCAGGGAATCACGGTGTGCCTGGGACTCCGATGCTGAGGCCGTTCCCTCTTGCCAATTTAGGAAAGCGCTGTTTGTCAGGGTTCCAAATTTATACATAATTTGGTGGCTCATCTCTGTTGTTTGCAGAAGTAAGTGCAAGAGGCAAAGGTGTTCTGTAAATCTGAGGTAATGTGTTAGACCAGTAAGCATAATGAAGTCCAATAATGAATTAGGCAACATTCCGTGCAAAAGTTCCTGTAGTGAGGTGAGTTGTGTTGTTGGGATTTTTTTAGCTTAAAGGATACTTATCACATACACACTAGATTTGAATAATCTGCAAAAGCTTTTTTTCTTCTTTGTGTATATGGGACAAATGCTTGCAGCTGTCCCGTTCTCAGTGAGATTCCTGCATGTGCTTTTTGCTGGCCTTGAGCCTCAGTGTGAAAAATGCCCAAACCATTTCCAAATTCAAGAAATATTTGTAGCTACAGTTTATGGTTTATTCACCATCCAATTAGATTTATTTGAGATTATTTGGGTTTGTACGATTCACTATTTTTTATTGCTGTATTGTGTTTCTTGTGATGTGTAAACCAATGGATTGTAGTTTCTGGAAGGCTGTGCAGTGGTCTGAAAGGCACTGCTAGTTCCTGCAAAGCCAAAGCCTGGGAGAGCTTAGCACACAGTGCCTTTGTTTCCAAACCCTGTTAGATCTCTGCATTCTTGCTCCTGGTTATGCTACAGAGTGGTTTAGCTCCCTTGAGCTGGTTTTGTTATCCACCTCCTTCCTCCAGTGTCCTTAGCCCCACTTCGCTGCAGAGAGAGACTGGATGGACAGTAAAGGCTCTTTTATTCACAGGTCAGAGCATGGCTCAGTTTTTCAGTCCGACACAGTGGACTTCAGCACTCACTTCAGCAGAGACTGCAGCGGCATGCCCTCAGGAGCACTGATTTGTGGTGGCCCTTTCACTCTGGAAGAAAAGAAGGCACATTGATGTTGGGCTGATGGACAGAAGAGCAGGAAGCCTGACAGCCCCAATCCCCACTGGGCTATCCCTTCATCCGCTGCCACCCACGGATGGGGAATTACAGGCAGCAGAGAGGGATGTCCCCCGCCTCTGTCAGCAGACTCCGTGTGCAGGGCAGGATGTAGCTGACTCACTGTGCCTTCTCGATGTCCTCGATGCCCTCAGGCAGGCGCACGTTGAGTGTCTCTGGGAGCAGAAAGGCCACCATGCCGCAGCATACTGCTACACCACAGTAAGTAACCTCGGGCAGAGACTTCCACACCTCATCCAGCAGAAACACAAGTGGGGCCAAAGCCCCGCCGAGGCGTGCCACAAAGGAGGTGTATCCCATCCCATTCTGCCTGGAAAGGTAGGGCACCGTGGTGGTGCAGACCACCACGAGAAAGAGATGAGTACTTCTTTCATATCAGACCTTGGGAAAAAGTGCAGACCCTCTGCCCCTTCCCCTTCTTTTTCTGTAAGTGCTGAGGCTTTCCCCCCACCCCGGTTTTTCCTCTGCTGTTTTTTTTCTAGGTTGTATTTTTTCTTTCTTCTTCTCTTCCTACAATGATAATATTTCTGAGAGAGCAACTGTAGCTGCTGTGAGAAATAGATTTATGTCTGTATGAGAAATGAGAAAGCTACAGTTAGTTCCACACTAAACTAACTTTAGAGTTCCAGCTCTAAGGTTGTTTCCGCTTTAAATGTCTAAAACCCTGAGTGCCTTTTCTACCCATCCCCTAGTAAGTCCTCTGATCTGCTGAGAGCAAACCTAAGTCCCTCCTTCTCCCAGATACTTCTAGGCAGGTGGCACTAGAGATACCTGTGAGAACCTTTGGTCCTGCTGTAGCTGTAAGCCCAAGAAAGCTTGGAGAGGAGGCCAAAAATAAGACCTGGGACCTATTCCACTTTCTAATTTTCAGGGGATAGGTGGCATTTCACACTAACAACAAGGATCCCAGGACCTACTTGTGCATATGAAGAGTAAGTACTGCAGAAGTAACTGACATTTTTTGTCTTTATCTCTTAATGTCTTTAAGCATATAAAAATACAAACCAATCTGAGAAGAAAAGTAGCAGATCAGTGTGCCCACTGTAATAAGTAATATATTAAAATTTGCCAATCAAATAGAAACCACCATCTCTCAGGAACTAGCTAAGATATATATTAGTTATTGTTTAAATACTAAATACTAACCAATTATTGTTTAAATACTAACTGTTACATTAACTGTTGTATGGATTATTGCTGTAAAATGTTAGAAGTTGTAAAGTGCTAGTCCCTGCTGTAAAATACTAGCTGCCCAGGAGGAGGCTGGTGAGAAAAGAAAAGACAGATAAGATGGACTCCAGCAAGGCTGCGACTCATGTCTCACACCTCTGCAGGGAGGAAGGGATACACAGAAACTCGCCCATGTAGGAAAGATAAGGACTAATAAAAACTAACATTTGTCTTCAGATAGTGACAGGCAAGGCAACCAGATGTCCACTCAAGGACAGACCAGGCTGGAACCAGTTTGGCTCTGCAAGCTCAGCCAAATCAGGGATTTTAGGGAAGAGGTGAAAAGTACACAGTGAGGAAGACCTCTGGCCTTCATCCTGAAGACCCGTGCCCACGACCACCAGGAGGAGTGTCGAGGAGGAGCCTGAGGCGGATCCTGAGGTGGAGATTATGGAAATGATTTCCTGGGAGAGACTGACCTTTTTGGGGGGGGCTATGAGTGTGTTTGTATGAATACAAGAAAACTGCCACGGCAGGTGTGCGTCTTGGTGGAGCAGACACTCCCGGCGCACCCAGCGCTGTTTTGCTTGCTTGCCCTAAATAAATTTTAACTATTAATTCTACAGTTATTGGCTGTTGAGAATCATCTTCTCGCCAAACTATTGAAATTAACCTATAACACCCACTTCAGTTTATATATGCATCGTTCTCCACATGCGACAGACCAGTGAAAGTTAAAAGGACTGAATGGCAGAGAAGGGTTCTCTGGGCAGGGACAGAAGTGAAGTAAGTCACAAGGCCTCCTGTGATCCATGAGGGTTTTTTTTGACTTTTGCAAAGAAACCAGTGAGGTGATTTCCTCCACCAGTCTCAGCTATATCCGAAACTATGCTGATGCTAAAGCTGATTTTATGTCACCTTTACCCAAATATTTCAAATAAGCTCTCTTTTTCTTACTGAAAGGCTAGTTAATCCCTGCTTTAATATCATCTGATGTCCAGAAGACTGTCAAACGTGGTAGCATGTGTCCCTTATAAAACTTGGTGTTTCAAGTGATTATTTTCAGAGTCTTTTAACAATTACTGACAGATTTTCACAGGGAACTAAGACTTTACTAAGCAAAGATGCCTTATGGAGTTAAAAAATCTTCCCACACAGAATACTCCTCACCTTTCGATACATCTCCCTATCAACATAACCTAACCACACATAACCCAGGTAAAAAAAGTGTAGCTTTCTGCCCCTTTCTTGTGAGTAGGTGTAATCCCTAGAACCTGCTACTTCTAGAGGCAAGGCATAAATCCTGCAATCTAGCCAACAGCGCATCCTGCTGTGCTGATGTCGAAGACCTGAAGGTGACATCCCACCAAGGCTCAGGCAAGTGGCATCTCTTACCTCAGTACGGTGGGGTAGAGCTCAGAGGTGTACAAGAAGACAGTAGTGAATGCAGCTTCTGAGAAACCTTTGCCCATAATGGCTACTACAGAGCGCAAGGAGGTGAAGGCTAGGAGGAAAGAGAAGATATTAATGACAATAGTCAAATAGCAGCCTCTAGAAAGGCGCTTCTTGTGGCCTTAGGTACAAGAAGGAAGAAGGTTCAGTGCTCCTATAGACAAAACAGGGAGCTTCATAGCCTTGGCGCTGCTGTCTCCAAAGTCTGGATCAGTAAGTTTGGTAACTATTAGTTCAAGTGGGAGCTGAACTGAGGAAAGGATAGGCCCTGACATTTCCCGTTGGACAGTGTCTGTAATAAAGATAAGCACTTCACCTTGCCATCACCGGACCCTTACTAGCCACTTCACAGTGACCAGAGACCGTCTCTTGCCACCAGATACTAGGGCTAGCCCACATTAGCAACCTTGTCCCACAGATGCCCTTTAGGTGGAAGACATCTCTATATGGAATTGCCTGTGGACGAGACCTACAGTTCTCCTTCTCTAGCACTGCACAGAATGGAAACGTCCTCTTTAGAAAGTACTACATATAGCAGAAGAGTGTCTTACGCTTGGGAATGATGACGTTGGCTCCTATGCATAGTCCAGTCAGGATGAGTGCCCACGCCTGACTCTGCCGTCGTCCAAGTCGATTCACCAGCACGTACATGATCATCTTGGCTGGAATCTCAATGATGCCAAAGACAAACTGGGAGAGATACACGTTGAGCCCAAAGCCAGTAAGGTTCATGCTCATGCCATAATAAGAGAAGGCAACACCAAACCTGCAAGGAGTGTGCAGAGATGGGGATGAGGGGAATCCAGCTGGGGAACTGCAGGACAAATCCCCTATGTGAAGTGACACTGCTTACCACACAGCCCCTGAACACAGAGAGATCTTCCGCAGGACTGGTGTCCTGAACAAGCTGATGTAGGAGTAACTCTCTCCCGGCTTTTTGTCTGTTGTCATCTTTCTGAGGGCCTGGGAGAGGTGGAAAGAAGGAAATAGCTCAGTTGCTCTACTTTTAGGATCCAAATGTGAAACCCTAGACAGGCTGGGACCTTTGTCCTTCCCAGCTCCAGCTCCACCTTGGATTTTATATATGTTCCCATTGCAGAACAATTCTCTGGGCATATGTTGTCAGTGGCACGTCTTCCTACAACTTTATAGATTGCTGAACATTTTGGACTTCTTTTTCTTCCCGTGTCCCCTTCTTCCCTCTTACCTACATACTACATGTTGCGGAAAGGGTTGCAGAAAAACGGCAGATCGTGGTGTTAGCAAAGCCAGTGTTGGGGAGTTCCACCCTCTTCCCCATGTGATTGCCTGCCGTTGTGTCAGGTCTCAGACAGGAGCTAACAGTGAGCTGCGCACTTTATTCTCATGGGTGCATTTATATAAAGTGTGATTATTTATATACCTGTTTATATGAATACAGAATATAGAAAAAAGTCAGGCACTAAGAAGTAAGCCCTGCCCATAAGGAAGAAGAGAGTGCTTATTCACAAAGTCTTTTAGCAATTGATCTAGTGGTACGTACCAGGAGAGTTGGTAAGTTCTGCTCACTGGCTGAGGTGCAAGGGATTCACACAACTACAGGTCTGCAATGCATCTATACCTAAGCTAGTTGCCATAGGCTCACTGTGTAGTTAATGAAGATCTCCAGTGGAAGTGACGGAGTCATTTTATCCTAGAGCAAATAACCATATTTGGTCAGCAGAATCGCATGCTAGTGCTAGCCTCCATCGGCTGTTCAATTAGATGGCAGGCTGCAGACGGTGATGATGTGGACACCTAACAATGGGAGAGATTAATTCCTCTCAGGAATTAATTTCACCATGTCCAAAAATCATCAGCAAATGCAGGGTAGGACAGTTAAGGATCAGTTAATCTGATCTAATTCCTGATCAGATTAAGAATCACAGGAAACCTTGAGGAGAGAGTCTGGTTAACTAGTTACATGTATTCTCCAATCAACATCGTCTTCAGAGAAAGCAAAGCCTCAGCCAAAGCTTTTGCATAAATACTTATCTCAGCCACAGAGCCATGTAGGGAACCTACAACATGGATGGATGAAAAGAGCCTGCAGCATCTTGGACCAGAGTATCATCTTCTCCAGTGCCTTGTCTCCAACAGCATCCTGCAGCAGAGCCTACACAAGAGCTGGGCAAGCATATGGATATACTCTCCTAGAAATGTCATTGCCTCCAGCTGTTCAGGGACTTTCTGAACCAGACAGGGTGTCTGGCTGTTTAGCACCCTGTTGATCCTTTCCCACATTATCTAGTGATTTCTTGAACCCATGTTTGCCTTTTATTTCTGTACACCCATCTCTGGATCTGATAACTTTTGTTAATTCTGCAGTATGGCACGTAAGTTATTTTTTCAACCTTTTACCTTTTTTTTTTTTTTTACCTTTTTCACAAACAAATAATAAGTCTTTTCATCCAATGCATAGGGTGAATCATAGCACTGATAACAGACTACTTCAATATTAGATTCAAGTTACCCTGATGGCAGTCTGTCCACTCTTTAAGTTGCATGATTTGCTATTAAAATGGGTAACGTAAGACATTAATATGGAAAACATCTTCCTGTATGTATTGTTAGCCAGATTTCTTGGCATGTGGAAGGACAACTGGGAGAGACAGAACAGCGAGAACCCCAAGAATCTTAAAATGCACATAATTCAGTGATGGCTGAAGAGGGAGAGTGAGAGAATCTACAGGCCTATATCATCTTAATCTACAATTAAGATGGTGCTGAACAGTTATGGGGGCTGGGGTCTTGTGGAAATTTCTAATAAAAGAGAAATCCTAGCCCAAAGAGCACTCTGGTTAAAAGAATTGTACGAAATGAAAGAAAGCATTAGGAAAGAGAAGAGGATAGCTACAAGTAACAGCGTGTTTCACTAGGGAAGAGCTAAGATTTTATTTCTAATTGCATATTATTCTTTGCAGTTTTTGGGTGAGTGACAAAGCTTTTCATACTGAAAAAAGTATTTCACACTGGGAAATTCCTTAATCAGTTCTATAAGACAATGCTATTAAACCTGAGAGTACATCAGTAATGTGCTGTGCAATTATCCGGATATGATACGTCTTTCCAAGTTCAGTCTTCTGAACTAAGAAAAATTGTTACCTTAATAAGCCATCAAAACACACTGATGCACAGCCATGTCAATTAAGAAAACTAGAATCAGGTAGTTCTGTGTTGCCTGTGTGTTTGGATATGGACAAGGAAAAACAAGTATGTCCCTACAAACCTCATGAATCCAGCATGGTGTCACAACTGCAAGCCTTTCTTGATCATGGTCCAGTGGTCACAGCATGGTCTGACTTGATGCAAGGCTGTGATAGTGGTAAAGCCCCAGCTGCATTTCCTAACCCTAAGAATGGTATGAGGGTGCAAGCCCATGGCCTTCCTGGTGAAACACTGCACTCTGAAATAGAGTCATCAGCCAAGGCTGAATGAAAGAGGTAACTTGTTTTTTTTTACATATTTTGTCAGAGCTACTGGCTTGATTAAAGGTAAGGAAGAGTCACACTCAACTCCTGTCTGTCACAACCAGTAAATTCTTAATTTCTCACACGATTAAACAATGTAATTCTGTTGTAAATCAAAAGGGCTAATTTAAAAAATGGCATGCTGGGCAGGATAAGACAGTAGTGTGGATGCAGGAGCACTGGGTGCACACAGAGGTGCAGATGGGCCCTGACAGCAAAGCACAAGGCTCCTGTGCTGGTGCCAGGGGTTTCCCATCTTCCTCTTTTGGTAAGAGGAAAACCAATGGACATTAAAGGAAAGACTGATGTTTAATGTACTACAAACTTATGTACCCACTGGATTTCACAACTGAGCCTTATTGCTCTTGAGAGGGCCGAGTTAAATCATGCAGACCAAATTAGTCAGAACTGACAGACGTGCAGCTATCCAACCCTGGCTATGAAGAGTTATTGTGAGCACTGACTATGCTCTGGTATCTCTCCAAAGGGAGAGACCAGCTTCTGCCTGGCCCTTGAGTCCTCCCCAGAGCTGGGACATTACTTGACCTTATCACCATTCCCTGGAGCCACCAGCGTGTCCTTGAGTAAGCATCATGGACCAAGGTTGCAACATTTGTGAGTCTGAATGCAAAAATACATTTTAAAGATAGAACTCAGCACCAGATGAAGATCTCCAGATCAGCCTCATACCTTGAGCTTCGGAGTTGAAAATAGGTGGCTGTATTTTAGGGTTCTCCTTCCCCTTTATTTATTCAGTCATCTAGCTGAGCATCTTCACTTCATCCTTTACACCTCTGGGGTCAAGTAAAAATGGATTCAAACCCGTGGGTACGTGCTTACTTTGTCCAACACCTCACCCTTGCCACATTCCTTTAAAACTGCTGGCAGAGCCATGACTGATTTGAGAGCAGAGCTTTAGCCAAGGGAAAAAGTTGATTATGCCGAATGTTCTTTGCACCCACAGTCACCACTGGGCCACTGTGGCTGACAATCTTCCAGTTTCACATGTACGCTAAATGCAGCCTGAGGTGGACTAGCCTTTTTGGTTTTGGATAACACTACATACAATATCTCAAATGCAATAATGAGAGAAAATACGCTAACTACATACTATTAATGTGTGTCTGCTTTCTGCTAGCACTGTACTAACACTTGGCAAACAGTACGGCAATTAAGAAGGCAAACACTAAGCAGAAATTACTCATGCACCTGCACACTCTCCTCTCTGTCATGGGAATGATGCCTCTGCCTTATTTTTTCAGGCTGTGCTTCTCTCTTGGTGTGTATTTAGCCCAGTGTCCAGTGCCTTGAGGCTTCTTGTCATGGCAATAGTAAATGGAAAGACACTCCACCTAATGAAGGGGATTTCTGGCTGGGGAGCTGAGATGCTGCTTTATATTTAGGAGTGGATGTAACTACTTTCTAGAGTAAAATGGAGCATGGTACCCTGCCCTCAGATCACACTGCAGGCTGAGCATTGCTTCAGGTGTCAAATAGAAGTAAAACAGAGAGAGAAAATATGAGAGGAAGAATATATGTCTGGATCTTCAGTTTCTCACCTCTGGTGAGACAGCGAAGTCTTTCTTTCCATTCATTCTTGCACATCTAAGCAGATGTCTGTGAGCTTGTTTCACTTTGCCATTGGCTATGAGCCAACGGGCAGACTCTGGGACCCACCTGGTGCGAAGAGAGAAGATGGTGTTCCTGTTGGTGTTCCAGGTTTTCCACCCCACATACATGGCCCTGGTCAAAGAGAGGGGGTCTTCTCTATGAGACTTCAAACTCAGCTAAAAATAGTAACTGTGGTGCAGGAGAATGAGAACAATGGGACACCCTTGTTACATGTACATGCTCTTCTACCCTTAAAGGAGTACAGTCTGCTGACTGAAATATGTCTAGCCAAAATTTTTATCACGTGATCTTTGATCAAAGCTTGAATTTTCTGAGCTAGTTGAAGTTTCGAACTCTTATCAGTTAAAATTGGCCCCAGAGAATTTATGTTTACAGAGTCATGCATTTTGAGACTCTTTAAACTTTGAAATTGTAGGATGTAAAACATTACTATGTAGAAAGGATTTAGTGGGCTCTATGCTTACTTTGTTACTTGTTGAAATTATTTGTTTTTCACAATAATCATAGCCTTCTGCATGAGATAGTCAACTGCGGTCTAATTCATTGTGGCTGTGGCACCCAGTGAAGTCTCCATGCTAGTCGTTGAGCAACAAGGGATGCTGTACTGCTGCAGAGCTAATTAGCAATTCTGAGAGGTCTGCTTAGCAGACCTGTGTAGGGTGAGAGTCCTGTGACTCGTGTTTTTCTGTCTGTTCCAGCAAAAGATCCATCACTTGTCATAAACTAGCATCTGCAACTCCCTCTTCTTGGACTTCTCTCTGATCTTGCCCCTGATTGCAGCTCGTGGCTACATGGCCCTGTTTGGCCCAGAGCTTCCTAGGCCACAGTGCAGCCCATCTAGCCCAGAGGGTACATGGTGTTTTGTGGGTCTGCAGAGCAGTCAGGGTCCAGAAGACATCATTGGAAATACCTGACAGTGGCTACATTCTGCTAGAGCATCCAACACCTACCTCCCACTACCCAAATCTGTCCCCTGAGAGAAGTAGAAAACAGCATCTACTCTTCTTGTGGAGGCTTTCAGCTGAGCATCCTGTGCAGTCAGTGAGAAGACTTACAACCTTGAAGAAGTATGTGGGTATGAGGTCTACTGAGGTCACACAGTTGTCAAAAATCTCTCGCTGGCGTCTCCCAGTTGGAGTGGTCTGAGACTAGTTCCCTGTAAGCTGTTGATGACTAATGTGCCCTAAATCAGGTTACAAAAAAAACCTATCTTTAGTTTTTTGCTGTCACTATTCAAGCAGTAGCTGAAAAGGATGTGCAAAGCAAAAACGTTTGAAGAACTGGTCTTCTGAAAAGTTTTCAACTCCTTCCCACAAGCTTATAACTCAATGCGCCTTGGGAATTATAAAGAGTGAAAGATGGCATTTGGCAATAATTGCCACCATTTCTGGAGTACAATATTATGTCTTTTGGTTGTCTAATGTCTCAACTGAGTTCTGACATTGTGTCAACAATATCCACAGAGTGTGCTAAGTGAGATTTTGATTCCATACTTCAGGGACTTCTAGTTATCCAACAATCACTGACCTCTTGGGTGCTTGAATTTTCATCAGACTACAGTATAATTCGTTGGAGAACTAATCTCAATAAAAGGCATTAACATAAAAGAAAAAAAAATCAGCTATCATGGAAAGGGTAGGTCCAAATATATCTGTGAATTTCAGCACTTCCCAGGACTTAATTTTTCATGTCTGGTTGTCCTAGAGAAAGAGCAAAGCACCTTAAGCTAAAAAAGTCAGCAGAACACATATTTTAATTGTGTTGGACTTGATCAGCAAAATACTAGATATTGCTCTTTGTCAGAAAACTGTCATCACCAGCAAAACAATATGTCTTTTTTGAGTCTTTGATTAACAGCAGCATCAGTTTATATCCCATTTTTCATACATATTATTTGAGATTTTTCTGCTAGATCTATGCAGCTATTTAATCTACTGCTTCATGCTGATAGACAGACATAGTAAGCAAGCAAATCATAGTCTCTAGAAGCCTCTCTGATGGCAGCTGAAATGCACTTTAGCATTTGCGTATCACTCTTTCTGCTCAGCAATTATGCATATAATTTTGGGGCCCGTGTGTCCAACAATCGGAGCTCACTCTGCATGGTTTCCAGCTAGAGCTCCCCATTGCCCTGAGAGATGCGTCTGTGATTTTTGCAGCATGGTCCAGCACCACACTGGTGTCCAAGAGGAACTAAACAACCACCCTAAGGTGGAGGAGACCCAGATCTCCAATTCTGAATGTTTTCAGTGGGGCACTTGTGGGAATATCTGCTTGCTTATTTCAACACGGGACTTTTTTCCAGTCAGAAAACAGGAGCTGCTTATTCAAAGGATGGTTTTGGATCATCCAATAAGTTGATCCAATACAGTTCAAGTTAAAGTCACAGTCACAGTATCTAGTCTGTGGAACTACACGGAAAAAAAGGAGGAAAATTAGTTTCTTTGATTAAATGAACCATCTCCCATTTTAAGCCTTAAGACATGTCAGATATTTCTGAAATAAGGCTACAGGAGGGAAATAGCTCACAGAAAGTGGATGTGTTTGACCCATCAGGACGGTTACACAACTGAAAAAGACCATGGGAAGTGCAGAGATAAATGTTAAATGTGCTTGACCTAGCCTGCAGATGTCATTGGCTCATAGGGAAAAATTGGTACCAGAGTATCCTCCCCAATGAGATGGGGACAGAGGATGGATAAATTATTTACCTTGAGTCTACCAGAGATTAAATCCAGGGATCTGGCCTGGCCCTTCCTCCCTTTATTGGGTTCTCTTTGCTTGCTCTGAGCCATGTCTGACAGTGCTTGCAGTACCAAATTCTGCTCCTTTGTGCTGCAACCTGTCCCCTAAAAGCCTAGCCTCAGCCCCAGTCCTGTCTCCTCCTTGGCCCCAAAGCTGTGGTGTGACCTTGGCTCCTGGCCTTGTTGGAGGTGAGGAGAGATGAAACACAGGCGACTCCAGTTTTCAAGAGCTGCCATTCCTGAGCAGTCCAAGCGCAGGACACAGATGAGTCCTGTTCCTCTTTGAGTTGTGAGAGCCAATCCTAGGATCAGCGTTGCAACATTTGCCATGCTCACAAGGAGGAGGCAAATCACAGCCTGCTCCCATCCCCACCAGCTGTCCAGCTGCAGGTTGCTGCACTCACCACAGGCAGATGATGCTCAGAAGACAAGGTCCTGTTACGGCTACTAGTAGCCAGTGCCATTCCCGCACCAGGTACGCTATCATGGCTAGCAGCATGTTCCCGATGCTCCAGAAAATGCTAATCAGGACCCCAGAGAAGGTGCGGTGTTGTATGTCCACCCACTCCATCCCTGCAAGAGGGAGGCACTGGTCAGCTAGGACACATAAGACTTCTCCAGGAAGGGGTCTGCAGGACTTTTTCACAAGGGCAAAGAGAGGTAACGTTCCTGGTCTTGTCGTCCAGGCGAGTTCCACTGTTGGGCTGACATCTGGCACATTTGAAATGTTCATCCACAATGCTTAACATCTTGCAAAGCTGTAAGCAACTAAAATAAAGCCTTAAAAGAAGAAATACTGGACATATAGTAAGAAATAGTGCTAAAAGCACCTTCGGTGATACTTTTTTTTATCTTTTTCAGTAGCATTCAAATGGTCTTCTTCATCAAACAGGTTTTTTTTTCCTCTAACTATCTCGCTTGCAGTTTCCTATTTCTTTTCCCACTCATTGTTCCACATGAAAGAAATACATTAAAAGGAATTGTCATTCATATGAGATCTATCCAAAGCAGCTGCTAATGCACATGTAAAGCCAGAACAGATGATGGTCTCCTTGTTTGTGTGTGTGAATTAAAAGCTAATTTTCCTCCGCCTTGCTACAACCTCTAACAATCAGAAATGTCCCTCCCAAGCTCTACTTTGCCTTGCAGGCATCAACCTTTATAACAATAAAAAGACACAGCCTCAGTATTTGTCAGGTCTTGTGTGGACTTTTCCAGTGTTGAAGCCATTTTAGCTTGATTTTGACTGTATCTGCAAAAATCCTGGAAATTTTTCCTGCACCTGTAACTTGCTCTTGGGTACAATAAGTCTTGCCTAGTATGTCTCAACTGTATCTACAAAATCATCCAGTGTTCTATTGGTTACCCTGAAGTTTGGAGCTTGTTTTTGTTATATAATTACCTAAATTCTTCAGGTTCAGTTTTGCCTAGCTTTGTGTGATTATTTTATTTTGTGTTTTTTTTTTTTTTTTCCCTCCCTCTTTCTAAGAATACAGATTGGGAATTTATGAAATCTGTGAGCAAACTCAAGACCGGAGAGGTAGAAACACCTTGCGAGTGACACACTGTCCTCCTCCTGCTGAGGACATGGCAACGCTGATGAATTGCCTTAACAGTGTGTTTGAAGGGTGAGGACTCGGTATCAGAGAAAAGGGGCAGATGCTTTGTTTGGTCTATGGCTTTTATTGTACCACTGATGATCCTTAACAGGAATTGAGTAGCGTGGATTGTAACTGTTAATGTCGCAACAGAAGTACTGGTAAGTGGTTGTTATATTTTTGAGTAGACTGTTAAAACATTAATTAGACTAACAAAAAATTGTAATTCTTGGATCCTCCCAAGAAGGATGTTCTTTTGGCTGCCTATAGTGAAATTGTACACATAACACTTTCCAAACCCCTGTTCCTACTAGCTCTGCCCTGTCTGGTAGACCAGTCCCTACCTACCTGCTGCCTGTCAGAAGTCCCCCTGTACAACCAGGCACCCACAAATCTCCACATACTTACCCAAAGGTATTACAATAAGGGAGATGCCGCTCAGGGCCACACCGGTGAGAGTCCGCATGATGGCCAGCATGCTGTAGGAGATGGAGGTGGCGCTCAGCATCCCAAATATGACAGAGCACACAAGTGACAGCAGGAGCATGGCTTTCCGTCCAAACCTGCCATGAGTACAGATTAGGTTACAGTGGCTGGAAACCTGTGTCAGGAGTAGAGTTTGAAATGGGGCAAACCAGAGACTCCGGAAGGAAAATGAAAACATTGCCTGTTTTGCAAAGAGCGTGAGATGCAAAGCCCTATAAAGGAGGAAACAGCTCTGGAGATAGCTGGTGCCACAGTGGCACAATCCCATTCAGAGAGCCAGCCTGCTCCATGAGAATTGGGCATGAGGCTCTCCAATGGAAAGAGCTACACTGATCAAAACAATATATCATAGAATCATAGAATGGTTTGGG